TGTTCACGCGTTGGTAGACCGAGCTATTTGTTTGTTTACGTATTAAAGTATTACAATATTATTTTTTTTAATTTGTTTTATTTTTTAACCGACAAATATTCGTATATAAAATTTTGATTGCATATAAAAACAAAAGGGGTTTCGAAGCGCACCGGCTTCAGCTAGTTTCATATAAATCCGGTCGTAAAAAGATCCACCGTAGAAAAGAGAGCATGCTAAATATGTCATTCGGATTGTAACACCTATTGAAAATTAGCTTAATATATCTGTCCACGCTTTTATACCTCCCCATATTCGGTATACCTATGTTATTTAAATTTCTATATGGATTTAAGTTTTGGTATAATTTCCAGTTCGTATTTCTAGGATTTGGATGTAAAAACCTTTCATTAATCGTGTAATCTTGTAAGTAAATTTGGTTTTGGGCTTATAATTAATGATTTATTTCAGCATATCTTTCATATTTCGAATACAAATGACGTTTTACAATTGTTTGGTGTTATGGAACAATTTTCGATTCTGTGATATGCATGGAACTCTCCTCCAAAGTATAATATTTAGTTCCGCTTTATACATCATTCTATTTTTACCCATTTGACCACAATTTATGATAAATAATTTTGTACATTTATGAAAGAGATTCCAAAGCTTTTGTATGGTTGCCAGCTACAGTTAAAAATAACATAGCATTCCAATTGAAACAACATGAAGTATGCTTCATTTAGAAATAATGTGGTATAAACTATCGAATTGATACTAATATTATTGTGGAGTCAAATAATTATATCATGTGTATTACCATAAATAGACAAGTTATTTTTTATTTCATTTTTAATAAAGAAAACAAGAACACAAAAATGAGTAAAGGTCTACATGTCACTAAAATTTATTTCGCCACACAATGTGTGATTTAAATGTTTCGCAAACAATTATTATTGTGCTTCTATTCAACCACTGTACAAAGAGCCCTTACTGAAATTGAAGCTCTCAAAAGTTCGAAGAAGTTCCACAGTGGAATTATCTCCCGATAGATGAGTTGCTTCAAAAATCTCTCATCGAAGAAGCTGGAAGATGATGGCACTTAGAGACCGGTTGCAGGTTATGTTGTCCAACAAGATACATAGGTTATTTGGCAGGTGGGAGATGGAAACTATAACGTCATTTTCAAACATAGATACCATCATCAGTTACCAGTTTGCCAAAAACATTCAATGGCTAAGCAGACCAATCTGCTAGCTGTATTTTCTCTCTATAAAGCCTTCATTATCTTTCTCTATCACTCCAATCACAAACAGCTTTATTCTTCCTTGGATGAACACAATGGACCAAAGGTCTCCGATTGAAGCAGTTGCCGACTTCCGTGTAGCAGCCTATCCTTAAACAAAACCAAAGCAATGCAATTACCGTATAATAACCTGAATTAAAAAAATTAAAAGATTAGTCTTCTTTTGGCGGGGTTGGACTTATTTTTATTTTACGATTGTAGGTGTACATATTAAGGTGGTTCGCCAAATATTGTCAAAAGGGTAGTTTATAAATTACTAAGAAAATTTAATAATCAATCACTTTCATAAAATTAATCAAGTTGCTGATATCTAAAAAGTAATGTCAAAAAGCAACATAAAAAGGGACATGAACAAATTTACAAACACATGGAATTCTGGAACAAGTAAAAAAGACGTTAAGTTCGCCTGGACAAAACAGCATGTGAAAACTTACCAACATTTTCTTTCTTGTCTTACAATGTATACAAACATACCTTTCCGGAACCATTTCCCATTTGTACTTTTGGTAATTTTACGGAAAAAAAATTAGAAAAGTAGTCTCTCTTCAAGAATTCAGAAGCAACTCTGTTTCAGTCAGTACTTGAGCATTTGAAGCACTATTACATCTGGTGTGAATATGGGATATATCGGTCTACTCCTCCTGGCACATCCCCACAAAGGGTCAACATTTTGAAATTTAAACGCCTCCTCAAATTCGATATCGTAAATAATATATGGGGTTTTCGAGATTTTTTATTGCATTTGTTATTAGTAAATTTGAAGATTAAAGACTATTGCTTCAGGGTTGTGTTTTTCGGATTCAATATACCTATATGCCTTTCCTTGTAGTTATTGAATATGCCTTTCCTTGTATCATTGAAATTTAGATACATGTCTACAGCGTTTTTGAGGTATAAATTGTTGAAAATTCTTTCACGCAGTCAGGGTAAAAATGCCTAGCTATGGCAAAATATCAATATGAAAACCCGGAGAGCTTTTACTTAACTAACTTTCTAGCTGAAATCCGTCTGTCAAAAATTTGCATTTTGTATTAACTTCTAGCAACACTATGCAACGATTGTTAAAAATTTTAAGGTATCCAGACACAACCGGTAATAATTTTGAAGTTAAGGTGGTTATACATAGACAGCTTAGAATCGTTACATTGCAACGACTACAGAATTAAGGAGCGACTCTGAGATTCCTTTACAATGTGTTACTAAACATTCCAATCGTCGATGCTTAGCGGCTACAGCCATACAATAAATTCAAGTTCAGCTAATAATATCCAGCTGTACATTTAGTTATTTATCTTTTTATACCCTCCACCATACTATGGAGGGTATATTAACTTTGTCATTCCGTTTGTAACTCCTCGAAATACTCATGTCAGAACCAACAAAGTATATATATTCTTGATCAGCGTAAAATTCTAAGTCGATTTAGCGATGTCCGTCTGTCTGTCTGTTGTAATCACCCTATCTTTCGAATGAATTGAGATAGATGGCTAAAATTTTGCACACATGTTTATTTTTCCAGTAGGCAGGTTAAGTTCGTAAATGGGCCATGTAGGTCCACGTTTTCGACCTTTTTCCCGGAAGTAATTTAAAATTTGGTATTTAAAGTTCGTAGTGGATACTACACCCTTAGACAGAAAATTGGTCCACGTCTTCGTATAGCCCCCATATAACGGTACCTCCCGATATTCGGTATTTTGATGATTTTAACGACATTATTCACGGGAATTGTTTCAAATTTGGTACTTGAAGTTCAAAATGGATACTACACTTTAAGACAGAAAATTGTCTGTGCAGGTCCACGTATAGCCCCCATATAACGACGGTACATCCCTATATTCGGTATTTTGATGATTTTAGCGACATTATTCACCGGAATTGTTTCAAAATTGGTATTTGAAGTTCGTTATGGGAACTACAGTCTGTGACAGAAAATTGTCTGTGCGGGTCCAGGTCTTCGTATAGGCCCCATATATCAGTACCTCCCTGTATTCGTTATTTTGACGATTTTAGGTACAATACACAACGAAATTGTTTGAGATGTGGTATTTGAAGTTCGTAATGGATGCTACAGCCTGTGACAGAAAATTGTCTATGCTGGTCCAGGTCTTCGCACAGTTCCAATTTAACGGCACCTCCTTATATACGATATTTTGATGATTTTAGCTACATTATTCACCGTTTATTTCAAGTTTCGAATTTGAATATGGTAATGGCTTATGACAAACAATGCCTATGTATGTCCACGTCGCATAGACCCCAATATAACGCCTACATTCGGTATTTTTAAAATTTTAACAGAATTTTTTAAGGATTTTATATCTATTTTTTATGGATACAATTTTATAGCAATTTTAATCTTATATCTCTTTACACAACAAACAAGAAATGTTGACTAAATTAAGAGTTTTTTGTCATGTACAATATTCCCAACTTGAACTTACAGAAAGAACTTAATACAGCTTTGGAAACTCTCAAACGAATGACTACAGAAGAAACAGCAGACGCATTTGCCAAGCACATTGAATCTGTATTTACACCATATTCCGTATCATCAACAGTTGTCCAATCTCTTAGCATTCTAGGACCAGTTCTTTACCTGATATTGACAACATATATCGCATCAATCTCTGCAGATAATGCAGCTTTAATTATCATACAAAAGGTCCTATCATAGCATCGGAGAAACTATAAACCCAAGTAACTCTTCTTGCGACTCAAATATAGTTTGCTAATTCGGTATACGTTCTTCTCTATAATTAAAATGCAATGTCCTTATGTAAAAGAATGCAATCAAGTCTATTTAATCCAATTTTGCTCGTGTCCATAGAATTTTACATTCACGAGAAGTAGACATCCCTATTATATTTTAGCAATTCATCTTGTTTCAAAAAAGTTGCAAAGATATACATGTCATCTCGGCTAAATATGGCATCTGTTCACAAGAGAAGTTTCAATGGCCTCCCACCACTCAATGGTGACTGAGAATCATTTATTGAAACAAAAATCAAGGCGATGAAACAAAATCTGAATACATTTTACAGAAATTTTGACTTTCCCAGTGTTGGATGATCGAATATTTAGTAGTTTGGTGCTTTATAATTTTTATCATCTTGCACACAATTGCGTCTATAAAATGATTTGCAACTGTACCTTTTCTTTTCATTACGAGAAACATAAATGCACCCCAAATAATAGAGCCATATGACGCATACATACACACCATCACGATTGTTGTATATTGATATGTGCATACGTATACACAGTAGTTGTGTATACAAGTTTTTGTTCGACTTTCGTTGCCTGTCTATCCATGATTTATCCATTTGGAAAGCACATTGAAATTGTCCGTCTTCAAAGGGGAGAAAACGAGTTGTCGCCAAACTTGCCAAGGAAGAAACGGTGCAACGTGCAAAAAATCGGTCAGCTGCTTTGCCATGTGTTTTGTCTTGAAAACCGACATAACCGGTGACTCAGCACTGAGAAGCACATAAGATGAAATCAAGGCAACTGACAAAATATACCTACGTTCCTCAATTCAATACGTTATCATATGTTTCGGAGATATTTGTTTATTCGGAACTACCTCAAACAAATACTTCCTTATTGAATTATAATCTGAGATGGAAAAGCAACTCATTGCAGGAAATGTGCAAACCAGTCTAAACCTGACTGCTGAATGGGAAAAAGGACCGTGGAAATAAAAACAACCCAAATGTAATTGTGTTCAAATCAGCAGCTCCAGTATTTTAATTTACAATTAAAAAACAATCACAGTGATAGTTGAAATTTCTTGTTTTTTATGTTAGTTTTTATGTTATAAATTTGAAAGTAAATAAACATAGTGCTTCTGAGATGTTTTTTCCTCATGCATCACAACGCTCCAAATAATTATAAGTCCAACGAATCACCCCAATGTACAAAGTGAGGCTCCAGATGATTTTACTTGGGTACAGACGAATTAAAATTGATGCAGCATTGAGATTATTCACAGCGATTATCATTTTTTAATTTTATTCAGTAATTAATTCTTCAATCCATCCACTATTTATTCTTGTATCACATTGGGACACTTTATATCCAAAGTAGAGTACAATATACTTTGAAGAGAGATTGGCTGCATTACATTGCAGTTGGTTAAATCATATATAGATGTATAGGTATACGTGATTGGCTGCAATTGCAGCTTGGAATAATTCAAGATATTTTACGGGATTTGGGAAAAATGGGTATAATTTTAAAAATAATTTTCAAATTGGATTCGGTGACAGGGAAGTTGAAGGAAATGAATGGGGTCAATCGGCAGTGGTGGAGATTGACCGCTTTCTAGTTACGGCTCCCTTTTTCCTCGCACTCACGTCGCAGGTGACCGCTTTTGCCGCAGCCGTAGCATGTCTTCGCTGTGTCTGGACAGTTCTTGGAGATGTGACCAGTGCGGTTGCACTTGTAGCATGAAATATTACTGGAACCGCGGTCGTTGGACGACTCGGGGCAATTACGCGCCCAGTGGCCAACTTTGTTACAGTTGAAACACGTCGGATTATCGGGTTGAGCACAGTCCTTGGATATGTGGCCAATGCCGTTGCAACGATAACAACGTTCAGATTCCTCGGGGCAGGCACGAGCAAAATGTCCGAATTGGTTGCATTTGAAGCATTTTTCACGGTTATTTCCGCGTCTCATATCACGGCCGCCGCCACCACCTCCTCCGGCATTACAGTCGCGGGCAAAATGGCCCGGACGATTACACTTGTAGCACGTGGATGAAGCCATAGACATTCTGATGTGTTATGTATATGTCTTACCAGCTAAACGTACTCAGCAACGATCCAAACGATAAATCAACTAAATGCGGACTCGGTGTGAAAATGTCTTTCACCTCACCAACTCCACGCACACTACAAACGACGAAAAATGGCTTGTTGTCTAACAGTGCCTCCTTTTTACAACGAAAAATGCCAACAATGCCCACCACCAGTGCAGCCAAATTTTAACAGCCGGTAGCAAGCCGGAAAATGACACAAAAACACTAAACCACAAGGCAGAGCGCAAGACGTCAAATGTACGTTTTTAAGCATGGTATACGCCAGGGTAGAAGAATATAGGTAGTCGCATCGTCACAACCATTTATGGAATTGAAAAATTACTGAAATTTGTAAAAATTGTTAGAAAAGCTTATCGTAAAAACAACCGATTCGTGTCGTTCCCAAGCGTTGAAGGATTTGACTGTATTCTTCTATTTTGACTTTCTTTCAAAAATATGATCAAAATGTTTAGTCTTTCAATTCCATGCCAAAGCTGGTAATACATTTTGTGCGGGCCTTGTGCGTTTCTTCTAATGGTAGATTTTGAAAGTATTTTGTATATATTTTTAAAGCAAAAAAATACATACACAAAATTGGCAGAAGTCGGGCATGTATTTTTTTCCACAATATCGAGTTGCTGATATGATTACAGGTATTTGTAGGTCCTGATGGGTTCTAGCTCCGGTGGCGGAACAATGTATGTATAGGTCTAATTTTTCGTATAGCCCCGTATAACAGTACCTCCCGATATTCGATATTTTTGTGGTCTTAGGTGTATTTCGTAATGGGTTCTAGCTCCATTGGGAAAACATTGAATATCTAGGTCCATTCTTTTCTACAGTACACATATAACGGTATCTGCCGATATTCGGTATCTTGATAATCCTAGTCACATTTACCCATGATTTTTTTTTCAAATTTGACATTTAAGTCTCGCAATAGATAACAATTCTTTTAGCATAAAGTTGTCTACATAAATTTATAGTTTCTTGAAAAGTTTAACTACATTATCCAAACGTTCTTATTAGTATTTGTTTAAAGTGGCACACGCTTGAATTCAAATACTTTTATATAAAAAGGTTTCTTTACCCCATTTTGATTTCCGGCCGATTTCCTTTAGTTATATTGTGATCATATTGTATTTTCAAAAAAATTATAATACTTTATGTATGAATTTTTAACCGCAAATTTAATTATATATTTTCACGCAACAAGCAAACAATACTTTTGATTAAATTTTATTTTTCTGCAGAAAATAGGGCTCGCTGTGATCGTGTATTTCACAACTGAAATGTTGTCCATGTATCACACGATGTGTGCATCTTCTACATATCGAAAATTTAACACCATATATGTGAAACCTTTATCGTCTGCTATAAATGGAAAAAGTCGCAAAACTAGCTAAGGGCCCTATCAGACGAAATGTGTTTTACATGTGTAATCTATTGTAGGAGTTACACATACCGTGTTATAAGTGTAAAGTACATATGAAAATATAATTTAAGCTGCTATTAGACCATAAGCGTTGTATGTACGGTCACTTTCATTATCCATGTGTATTTCCGTGTGTATGTCAACATTGCCATTTTACATATGACTCATAATTCTTGCTATCACACACTTGCATAATTTTCTTTAGTTATATTGAGATTATACTGTATTTTCTACAAAATTGTAATACTTTATTTGTGAATTTTCAACTGTAAATGTAATTATATATATATATATATATATATATATATATATATATATATATATATATATATATATATATATATATATATATATATATATATATATATATTTTCACACAACAAACAAACAACATTTTTGATTAAATTATATTTGTTTGCCCTCCACCTTGAAAAGGAGGGTATATTAACTTTGCCATTCGGTTTGTACTATTCCTAAATATTTGTCGTAGACTCTATATATATATTCATAATCATCATAAAATTCTAAGTCGATTTAATGATGTCCGTCTGCTTGTTGAAATCACGTACAGCCCACATTATTTGAAGTAGAGCTTGAAAATTTGGCACAACAATTTGTATTGCATTTAGGATGGTTGGCATCGGTCCTCGCTTTTGTGTTGCCCCCATATAAGGGTACCTCCTAAAATTCGGTATTTTGAGGGTTTCAGTGTCGGAAATTTGTATTAAATAAAATAATAAAAAACTTTGGTTCTGGTGATGATCAAAATTGATGATCAAACACACATTGTATTCTGGAAAAAAAACACACACACACATGCATTCGCGTTTGTGATTTGCTTTAATTTTGTCTAGGGTAAATACACACGATCAGTTGATGGTTTTATTTTATCCGCACATACGCGAATTATACACAGTTTGGTTTGTGAAATTAAATAAACCCTTGTGTTCAATTTTGTGAATCCAACATGTTGTGTTTATGTGGAAATTATAAACACTCTTGTTCGAGTTTATAAGTCCATCGTGTTATGTTTTAATTTTTTCTTGCCTAATCTAATTCTGATTTTCTTGTGTTAATTGCAAATTTCTCTTCTATGCGCGATCACATGCTATGTAAAAAATACAAACTAAAAAGAAAACAAGTAAAAAAAAATTAAGTTCGGCCGGGCCGAACTTTTAATACCCTCCACCTTAGGGTAATGGAAACATTAGAACCAATTATGACCCACTAATACCAATATTTTGACATATTCGTGGGAAAATATGGCAAAAATCATCAAAATTCCGAATATCAGGAAGTGCCGCTATATAGGGCTACACAAAAACGAGGACCTATACATACAATGTTCCGCCAACGAAGCTAGAACTCATTATGATCAGCAAATACCAATTTTTAGACAAATCCATGAAAAAATGTGGCAAAAATCATCAAAATACCGAATATCGTGAGATACCGTTATATGGGGGAAATACCAAAGCGTGGACCTATACATGTAATGTTTCGCCACAAGAACTAGGATCCACTATGAAAAATACTTAATACTTTAATTCGTAAACAGACAAATAGATCGGTCTTCCAACGCGTGAAAATGCAAGGAACAGCCATAAGAAAAGCACGAACATGCCAAATTTAGTCCGCATACAGGAAGGGTTTGTCCTTCGGATTTATTAATTCATAAACTTTTACTTTTGGTGCTTCAAATATGTGAAATCGGTAATTGGAGCTATATCTGACATAAACATCGTGTTTGGTGCATAACATACATGAAATTGGCCAAATAATATATATATATATATATATATATATATATATATATATATATATATATATATATATATATATATATATATATATATTTTTTTTTTTTTTTTTTTTTTTTTTTTATTATTTTATTGAATGTCCATAAATGTTCAAATTTCAATTTTAGAGGACACAAAGGCGAGGAAGAATATAAAACTGAAATATTAGCCTCATAGGTTTGATTATGGAATGGTTGAATTTTATTTCAAAGTATCATTTTGCGTCATCTAGGATAAGTGTGAAGATCGACTATTGACATAAATACACTACTAATATTGTCTTACCTTAAGTTAAAATAGTCCTTTGCAATATATAAATGCCGGGAATTTCAAACCATCAACGATTTTATATATTTTTTTGCCAGGGTTATTCCACAAGGTTGAATCTAAAATAGTAGGACAATACAATTTTATCCCAAAATTGTGCAATGTGTTGCCTATTAACGTCGAAAATATGCATTTATTTCGCAACTGAATTTGAAATAATTTTAAATTATTGTATTTTTAATTCAAAACAATACACACACACATACACAAAATGTATATATGTTTTGACAGAATAAGGACACCAAAAGAAAAAATTGTATTTAGGGGGTATCTTTGTTGTACCTTCTGTAATTGTGTCATGGATGCAACATATTTCTAGAGCTATTTTCACCTGGTGACAATACCGTAACAACATAATTACCAATGTTAAGTAATTTAAATCATTAGCTGTTATTCTAGATAATATAGCCACAAATCATTCGCTCAGAATGCATTTTGTCCAGTCTATACCATTTTAGGTCTTTGTCACTCTAGCCTCCGAACAAAATGAAGTGGGTTGATCTAATTTTACTCAGATGTATTTTATGTCTGCAGAACTTTTGGAATTAAACATGGGCCAAGTAGGAATTTGCTGTAAATTGGCAATTTGTGTTCCCAGCATTTAGACAACATTCTTGCATAGAGCTGTCTATACAGGTCCAACTTTTCGTATAATCTCTCAATATTCGGTATTTTGATGATTTTAGCTTTTAGACTAATGCAATCACGTATTTGAATGGGAGCTCTTTGGCAGCCAAGAGTGGTTTTCGACTTAAAGGCATATGTCAGCACCGGTGTCTTCATCCATCTTGGAACCGTATGTAAAGATCTAAAATGTGTCTATACTATCTAGATAACAGCTCATAACAGGATCATGCTAATATAAAAAAAATCCATTTATAGAAAAAAAGACAAACAAAAGTTTGAAAAATCCAAAAATTGGGTTTAAAAATTCTGCTCCATAGACTTTCCCAGTTAATTGCATATTGCCTAAGCGATTTAAATCGCTTAAAATTGCTAACTATGTTGTTACGATATCATAACAACAGAGGTATTTTCACAGGGTTGCCATATTGTGACTCTGTCTTGTCCCATCTCTATATTTCTATGTCTTCGACCAAAGACATAGAAATATAAATATAAGACAAGACAGAGTCAAAATATGACAACCTTGTGAGAATACTTCTGTTTTTATGATATCGTAACAACATAGTTACAAATGTTAACTGATTTTATCCGCTAAAGTGCCCGGTACACGATCAAAATGCATGACATGCAATTATGTGGTTTTATTGAAAATGTGTATGTATGCGTCACACATACGATGCATGAAGCAAAATCTGAATGTTTCGATTTTTCTCGTGCATGACGTTCGACTTTGACGTGTATATGAACAATTCTAGTTTAGTCAAAACTCTTAAATTTTTTCGAAATTTTTTCCAGTGGAAGGTATTTTTACCCTGATCCCGGGAAACTATTTTTTTCTTGGGGGACGGACTCGGGACTCCAGATTTTTGACCCGAAAGTCCGGGTTCAAGACCCCGACTAGCCCCGGATCCAATTAGCCGATATAGACAATATTACGTTTGGAAGCTTATGAAAATAACTATCG